TCTACCTTTTTTCCCCCTGCCTGGTGAGTGTAGCTGTAGAAAACATACCTCCAGATACTAGCAGTTAAGGAATAGCACAATCCTAAGACACAAGAAAACAACAGAGGTACTAATAACAAACACGGGCCAAATCCTGCCCACTGAAAATCAGAGCAACACTTTTGCAGAGTGATGCCAACTTAAGCAGCAGCAGCAAAGGACTTCCCCCACCCCCCAAATCTCTAGAGAGATAAAAACAATCTGTGGGTGGCTTCAAGCAGGCAAAAGAAGCCTCTGAAATTGAAAAAGAGAAGTCCCAGGATCACACACAAAAGCAAAACATGTTCCAGTGAACTTGTGATCTCCAAACAGCTGAGACTGTCAAATTTGTCCTCAAAACAAGAACCAGTAACTAAAAGAAAGATATTCTCCTTTAATCCTCCTTTCCCTGTGTTGCTTTTCACTTTCCAGTATGAAAACTGCCACGGTATACTCTTTCTGTCCCCTGTCCTCCTCCCTTTCAATGTAAATCAGGTAGCAGAATAAGCAGGAGCCAGAGCACGAGAAGTCTTCCCATGGATTCCGCTGGGATGCTGGAGGCAGATCACATTGTCTTCACAAAAAAGCCCTTGGGATGTAAGCAGCAGTTTGAAATTCCCATTTACAGGGCTTGCAGTGAATGAACAGACTCTGAGGGGGAAAAAACCAAAACCACCACAGTGCTTTGCAGAAAAAGCCAGCTCTGGAAAGCCCAACTCCCTCCTCCCATGCCGTTACCAGCAGGAGCAGGGCAGAATTCTTGTATGTTGGTTCTCTGCTTTGGCAACTCAAGGGCAAGCCCAGCCTGCCAGAGAAAAAGCACCCATTGGCATCAACACTGAGACAGACACCTCTTCCAGTGTCATGGATTTACTTTTCTGGGCTCACACAAATCTAGAAAGGATTTTGAATTGAACCTGACAGGTTATATCATGCTTTTGGTTTTAAAACCTTGCATTTTGGTGCAGGGACTGTAATTTAGGATATGTTCAGAGGTGCCTTGCACATAGAAGTCCACGCCATGGTTGTGAATGCAGCTGAATAACACCACCACCAAAGCAATGACTAATGCCTCTGAGACTCAGAAGAGGAATCTGACTATAATGTTTTACAATAACATGGGAAAAGAAGTCAGATTCTCCTCCTCCCAAACCACAGATTCCAATTATCACGCAAATGAGGGGTATTCATAGCAGCTAGCTGTAGAGCGTCTACAGGTCAGTCACATTGCTCTTCCATCTCCACTACACATTAAAAATTGGACAATACCTCTCACGTAACATTTTTTCCAAGGAAAAAGAAAAAAAAAAATATTGGTAAATCCTGCCTCAGTTTCAGCAAATATACCTCCTGCATACCTACATGCTTACCTTTAGTGTACACACACACACACAAAAAAATATTACAACCACATTCTTAACACCTCCTTCCTAAAGAAATAAAAGAAAGGCCTCCAGCAAGGTTATCAGCCCTTAAAAAGCAGCTGGATTCTGTCCCAGACGCTGCAATACAGCCCTAAACGTAGATACCAGCTCAGATCATAAAGCCTTTGTCCTCTTTGGGGGGGGCGGACAGGGAATCACTCCATAAAAGCTAAGTATTATTAGAATTATTAGCCACACAGCATCAGGAGAGAGTGTCTGGGAAAGGCGTGGTAAATTAGTCACCTTTTTAAGGACAGCAATAAAACACAGGAGACATTTAAGTAGCATTCCAGTCTGTTACGAATAAACACACTGGAGGGAGGGTGGACACATCAATACTATCAGCAGCTTGCCAATAGCCCTAGTCAGAGAAGTCAGAGACAGAAAAGACCCCCCAGGTTATCTGACCCCCCTGACAAGGCACAGTTGTGCTCCACAGAATCTTTCCCAGCTCTTCAGGTTGGCCTTGCTGCACATAAACACACATTCCCACCAGAAAAGACATCTAGATTGCTTAAAATAACAGAAGCCTGAGATCTATCTCTGTGTAACTTAGTTAAACATAAATACAATCTCTCCTGGCAGGTAGTAATATGATGTCCTCTATCATACATTATAAAAGGTGATAGCAAAGAACTCATAATTTATTTTTATTGATTCAACAACCTATGCTGGATCATATCTCCCAATTCTTCCCCTTTGCTAAGAAGCCTCCACCAAAGCCTTGGGAAGTTTAATTTTATCTTTTCTTCCCTTCTCCATCTACCTTTTAAAGCTGCTATGTGCTCATCCCTACTTAAGCTCAAGAAGAAAATGAAAAAAGGCCCCAGCTACTTTGCTGGCTCCGTCCTTGTTCCAACTATCTCCTGATACCATCTGCAAACCAGCAGATTTTGTGGAGCAATTTGACTCTGTGGAGTCACATATCTGCTGAAGGGCCATTTAAAGCTTCTGACATGGGGAGCTGAAAAGAAGGAATGACTTGAACTCCAAGTGTGGGTACACTACCTTCACAGGACAGTTCTCAATTTAAAAAAAAAAAAAGGTTGACAGAAGGTAAGACAGCACAGCCCTTTGAGATGTTATAAACTGCCAGGACAGGTGAGGGTTTTCCTTGAGGACTGAAGGCAAGACTGACTGGTTCCATAAGGGAAACTAAACTATGTGGGGAATTTTGTATCTAAGCCATTTCTGAATTTGGCAAACTGTTTAGCAGGGCCTGTTGCGACAGGACAAGGGGGAATGGCTTTAAACTAAAGGGGGGTAGATTTAGACTAGATGTAAGGAAGAAATTTTTTATGCTGAGGGTGGTGAAGCACTGGCACAGGTTGCCCAGAGAGGTGGTGGATGCCCCATCCCTGGAAACATTCAAGGTCAGGCTGGACGGGGCTCTGAGCAAGCTGATTTAGTTGAAGATGTCCCTGCCCACGGCAGGGGGGTTGGACTAGATGACGTTTAGAGGTCCCTTCCAACCCAGACTATTCTGTGATTCTATGAAAAAACCTCCCATAAAGCTGATATGTCAAGAAAATTCAGGCTGCTTATTGTTCTTCCATCTCAGACTCCAGGCTGTACTCAAGAACTCTCACTTCTCTCACACACACACACTCTCTCCTCTCCCTCCCCTCCCCCACATATGTACATATACATATATAAATATTACTGATCTTCCTCAGGTTCCAATTAGCAACTCAAATAATTCACACTGAACTGAGCATGGGCAAGAGATTCCCTCTCTCCCCAGGGACAGGAGATGGACTAGATAACCTGTTGAAGTGCTCTCCAACCTCATGTCTATGACCCAAAGATTTACTTGTTCTGTGAAAATGCCTCACTGCTAGCTCAGGAGAACAGCAGCAGGGAATTAGGTGCCATGGCACAGAAACACATGCCTGTTGTGCAGAAAAAGGCAAAATGCACAAATTGTTCTGTTATGGTTACTGCAGGTACCAAAGTCCAATACTTAGATTTTCCCCCATGTTTACTACCTGACCTTGAATGACATCATTAGTATAAACCCATGATCTAATCATAATTCTTTAAATACACCTAGGTAGAGTATTTACAAATATAATTAAATATAAGTGAAATATGAGAATCATCACAGAAAGAATAAGATAAAAATATAAGTGATAGTTTAGAATATATGAGTAACTATCATAGGCAACCTGGGTCATTGAGGCTGAGCAGGACACATAGGATCAGAAAGTGCTGGAGCTAAGAGACAAGCAGGAGTCAGGGCTCTCCACAGACAAAAGGTCAGAAGCAATAGTTTGAGTACTAACAAGCCAATTAACATATTTTTTACATTATTATAGATTCAACAAAGATGAAATTATCTGATTATCTTGTATATTAAGGCAATAGAAACGTGGTCTGTCCAACTGACTGCACTCTTTTGGCCTTGAACCTATGTTTATGCAGCAGTTCCTACCTGCAGATGACCAAACATACTTTGAAACTTAGTGGCCCAGCTGTGGTAAGGTCAAATGCTGCCCTAGCAGCTCCTTTTCCTACTGGTATTCCTTTGAACTAATCTTTACTCTTGATTTTAATAATCTTTATTATATTTATTTTCATTTTTATTCTGTATTCATCATGTGCATACATTTCATCATCACTATAGTGCCTGAACTACTTGTGCCACAGCTACATAGTTTTTTCTTTATTATAATTCTTTATGTTGTATCAGTAAGTAGTTAAGCAAAATTATTTTCATCTGTTGCTGTGAAAACACAGTCTCTCTGGGCAATTTCCTTTCTTTTTTCCTGTGCGGAGCAGCTCCTTGCTCATGCCAAACACCCCTGGAGCCCTATCTCCTTTGAAGGGCCTAATCAAGCAGACTTTCATGAAATCTGGCTCACTAGGTATTTCCAGAAACTGGGCTGGGAATGATTCCTCTGTGTACATACACCACATTGAGCCAGCCAGATGTAACAGCCTCCTTCATCTGTTCTTCCTACAGAGTCCAGAGGAACAGGTATGCTAACAGAAAACTGGCCTATGCAAGACACTAGCAATGGCTTCCATGATATGCAACAGAATGGAGGATAGAGAATTCTTAAGTTCATGATTCAGCTTCTCCCTTCTTTATGAGGCATCCAAGCTTGCACACCATCCCCTCCAGAGAGCAGCCCTAAGCACCACGGGGCCAGACCTGTTTGGATTCTGCCTGGTAACCCAAAGAACTATATGAGCCAGTTGATGGACATTCACAGTAGGCAGGTGCCATGGGGTTCAGCTCTGCCTCCAGCCGACATTTAACTATTTCAGAGTGCAGCTACATCAGCAAGAAAGAAGGAATGAACATGACCTGTATCACAATAGCCTGTAAATAGCCTCACCCAGAGATAAAGCGGCCTCCTAGCAAGCGGAACAGGAAACCGTGAGCAGGTGCTGCACTGCCTGCCTAACAGAAGGAACACACCCTGGTTTCTCTTCCTTCATGCTTGGCCATATAAAGACTTCAAAACTGTGAATTCAAAGGACTGATGGGATGCCTCCCTCCATGTCAGCTGAAAGAGCAGCTCCCTAAAATGCCCTACCATGGGAACCTACCTTAGGGATAAGGATTCCTCCAGGCAGCAAGAGGCTACAATAGCCACACTCCATGGACTTAGCTCTGGGATATACCCAGGACCTGAAAGGGAGAGTAAAGGCAGAAGAGGGACCTGAACCCCCAATTCAGAGCTCTGGTTTGTCACTCAAGCCAGACGACCCATCTTCCAAAGCAGCCAGTTACCACTTCTGTGCCTGCCAAGGAAACAAAGCTTTGGAAGAAAGATACAGATAATACAGAGTGAACATTTTTCCCCATCTGAGTATTTCCTAAAGACAAGTAAAATATATTTGCTTGAAATCTGACCCTGTAGGAAGGAAAAAAAAAAAAAATTAAAGAACCATAACACAACTTTTTTTCCTCCCCCAAAAAATTGCCCTCTGAAGGACTGGCACCAACTTCAGGGCAGGGGGGGAGCATGAAGGCATGTGTCACAATAAAATCATAACTTTTGGTGTTGGCCCAATATTGTAATTTTGGGGGGCAAATTAAGAAAAAAATCCATTCATCTGTTTTTGAGCTCTGTGAGAAAGAAAATATATTTTTTCCACTTTAGAAATACCTTGTGCTAATGTATACATGGGGAGATGTGGAACAGCACAGTTAATGCTGTCAAAGGCAATTTTTCTTACAGACTTAAGTGTTCCACTACTTAACAAAAAAGAAGCTGAGAAAAATAGAGGAACTTGAATTCAAATTTCCTTTAATGCAACATTATGGCTGAGAATTTCAAAGCTATAAAAGTAGGAAACTCAGAAGTACAGATTCTACATTATGCACATGGATGGTATAAACGAAAAGAGGCAAATCACCACTGCAGAAATCCAAAGCACTATTGACTTTTTCAACCCTTTTAAGGTAGGCTGGGGCCTAGGGGCAGTTGGTCAGATGAAAATACCTACTCACTCCATACCGGAACCCAAAGAAAACTTTCAGAAGGTTTGACCTTGTGAGATCACTCTCCTTCTCTTACCTAGGGACCTAAAAAATTCTTTGGTTGGACCTGAAGAATTATTGCCCTCTAGCCAACAGAGAAATTGAAGCACAGTCTTCATTTCAAGCCACTGTCTATATCCTTCCTCATTAAGAATCATGGTTATGACAACTGGGACTGCTGACTGATGACTGACATTTAAACTGGGACTGCTTTTAAGATCAGGATTTGGGAAGCTATAACCCAGGAGATAGATCCCTTTCACTCTTGCACGACAAAGGATAGATTTAAACAGAAGGCTCAGCGCTTTGCTCTGCCAGCACCTGCATTGGCTCTCTTCACCCTCACAAGAACATCTGAGACCCAAAACCTGGAGGTAGAAAAGGGAGAAGAGACAGAGCCTCATTTTATGAAAATACTCTGTAGCTCTGCAGGGTCTCCAGATGACCTTCAGAGAATTTCATATACACGAGCTGTAGGGTTGTCTTGCACGTTGCACTGAGATATCAAAAACTGTCCACCACTGCAGCAGAGCTCTAAACAACATGAATAGTCCCACTGACGATTCCTGCATTGGCATGTTCTCAGTTGAGCACCAGGAAACTTCCAAAATTCCTTCTGCCCCTTGAGGAACATAACAGGGAATGGCTGTGCAGTGAGACAAAGGAAGAATGCAAATTGACTAAGCAAGATCTGTAATGGCCGTTATGCAAGGTCTGTTATAGCTTCTCCTCTTTACTATCTCAAGAACCCTGGATTTCCATTGGAATGATCTCTTCTCCTCTCCCTAACCAGTCACACCGCAAGGTCCTGTCTTCATGAACACCATGAAGTCACAGGAGCAGGACTCAGATGCTCCCCACCCCCCCGTCATTCCTTGCCATACAGTCTCTCTAGCATCTGTTATGACTATGCAATAAAACCTAAGGTTGGCACCTGCTCTGAAATGAAAACATGAGCTGGAAATGGGTCAGGCACACCAGCTTCTCCTGTTTTATTAGAGCCTAGACTAGAAAGGAGCCATAGTCTCTAGTTGCTTCTGGATGGCAGTAAGGAGAGAAAGGTGACAAGGTTTATCTGAAGGTGAAATTCAATCCCATTCTCGCATGACATATGAGCACAAAATCTTAAATAGGGCACTAGGGAATAAATTTGCCAATTCCTCCTCAGGTAAAGCTAGGTCATCTCCACAAGTTCCAGTGCGAGTTCTCTCTCTGTGCTGTGATCCTTCAGTGAACAAACCCATCCCTGACTCCAAATTTCATGATATGATGGCTGCAAACCCATCATTAAGAATAATTCTAATAACCATAACAGCCTCCAAAACAGAGGACTATAACATAAGCTGGATCCAAAAGTCTCCTGTTCTGCCTTTGTGACTGTGCAGAAGTTCATCATGACAAGTACCTGCTCCAAAGGGGGAGTAAAGTTCAAAGACAAACAGTAACATGCTTTTCATGAGTAAATCTTGATCTGGTGAAGGATTAGAGCTCCAAATGTTACCAGAGGCTGAAGCATGGTGTGGACCAGAGGACTGAATCAAGGTGGTGGTGTCAGAGTGTCAACTCTGTACCAGTTCTTTGTCTTATCTGGCAAGATGCACAGGTAGGAAAAGGTGAGCAGCAAGTCTTTTAAGTAGCTGTGACAGGCTAAAGAACAAATCCAAAGTCCCATTTTGCCTTTGCTGTTTTATGATTGTCCTTTCACAAGGTTGATCATCTACAAACTACTTCTTATAAAGCGCCTTCCAAAACAGAAACATTTCTCTGGGCCCTTTTACAGCAGGACTGACAGCAAGTGCTCCAAAGATAATCTTCAGCAAACCTAGTTATTGGAACAGTGTAACCTGTTGTAAATTCACATATACAACACAGCAGAATGAAGATACTCTCCATGCCAGCCTTTCGAAAGGCAATTGATACAGGTCTCTCCGGCAACTACACCAGCACAAGACTGATTCCAACAAGCTCCACAGATCCCCCATGAGACTACTGCAGCCAGAGCAGCTCTCATTAGAAAACTGATGCTACAACAAACAGGCATCAGAGGCTCAGCCTTGAACCAAGCTGTCAGAGCACCAGAGAGTCCTCCACTGCATCAAAAAGCTCAGGTCATCTCTCATGGATTGTTGCATTTTGTTTTTCTTAAAGCCCTAGGTCTTGGAGGCCAGTGATGACTTAAAACAACAAAACCCCAACCTCAGTTCGTACTTTTCTGAATTCAGAGGGTGACTTTTAAAATACACTCAGAACTTCATTTTAAGTCTTAGACTTCTAATTCCCAAAACAGTGCACATCTCACACTCTTTTCATACTCTTTTTTTTTCTAACACACATGTAGAGACAACTGTCTAGCTATGTATCTGTTCTTAACCATAGATGCAGCTACATAATGGTTTTAAACTCCATTGCATTATTTTTTTCTCCCTCCAAGAAAGAAGACAGAAAATTCACTCGGGATGTTTTAGATGCCTCAAATTAGCAATGCTACAGTCAGAATGGCACAGAGCACTCTTGAACAGCTATTGCTAGTACTTGCAGGTGCCATGAGCTCTTCACATTCAAGAATACTGGATTTACATTCAAACATAAAGGAAAAATAAAACCAACTTGATTCACGTGCTCTTACATCAGGAGAACAAGGGGTATTTTTAGAGCAATGGCTTAGCATTCACAGCACGTGTGGCATTCTTGATTAAACAAGAGATCCGCATGAACATAATAAACCTGTAATTTTATTGGCCAAGCACGATGGAAACAATTTAGAACACACGGATTGCAATGTTAAGCAAACTGCAGCCCATGTATAACACCCATGAATTATAGCAGTTTGGCAATGAGCTAACCAGTTGCTTCTCACGGCCTTTAATAACAATCATCCACATCTTCACAGCACAATAGAAATTAGAGATGCAAGAGGCCTATTAGCTCATCCAGAAAATACAGCATTGTTCCCTATGGGATAATTGCTAATACTCTGTCCAAAGTAGATTTAAAGCTGTAAAGCAAGGTAGCCTCTTTAGCAAGATTACTCAGAGTGGCTGAGAACTCAGTTTCATAAAGCTTTTTCTAGACATTAAATTTAAATGTTTCCTCTCTTTAAAAAGGTTAAAGCTAGTCCAAGGAGCCTGGTCTCCTTTGGATTCCCTTCTAGTCAGTCAAGAGAGGGGAGAGTTGGTCCCTTTTTGCTACAAAAGCAGCAGCATATAGAGGCTGACCTTCTTTGGCTAACAGCCTTCACAAACAGTTCTCCCCACCACCCAGCTAGTACATGTCAGCTCTTGTCCATAACTCCATGAGTTTACCACTTGCGGAAGAAGGGCCAGACGACTCAAGAAGAGTACAGGGATCTCGTTAGGTCATGCAGAGAGGAAATGAGAAAGGCAAAAGCCCAGCTAGAACACAATCTGGCCGCTGTCGTGAAAGACAACAAAAAATGTTTTTACAAATATAAAAAGGAAAAGGCTGAGGTACTTAATGTCTTCTTTGCCTCAGTCTTTAACAGGCAGACCAGTTATCCTCAGGGTACTCGGGCCCCTGAGCTGGAAGACAGGGACGGCGAGCAGGATGAACCCCCCATAATCCAAGAGGAAGCAGTCAACGACCTGCTACGCCACCTGGATGCTCACAAGTCTATGGGGCTTGTATAGAGCTTAACGATTGTGATGATGATGCGGCTGAGTGTTTATGGGTAAGGATGAGGGGGAAGGCCAATGAGGCAGATATCCTGCTGGGAGTCTGTTATAGACCACCCAACCAGGATGAAGAGGCCAATGAAGCGTTCTGCAAGCGGCTGGCAGAGGTGTCTCGATCGCTGGCCCTTGTTCTCGTGGGGGACTTCAACTTCCCGGACATCTGCTGGA